AGTACATAATTTTCGGTTAAATTTTTATACCACGCCGGGATTGGACCGCTGTAGTTGTTGTTATTATTTCTTTTTACATCAGGCCACGAGAGTAGATAATTCCATCTGATGAAACGATTTGATCCATATAAATAATATTTTTAGCTTTAAGATATTTAATGTCGGCGGTAGAAAGATCTGACATATAATCTCGTATAGAGGTATTTCCTCCTAAAATATTAATATTAAAAGTGAAATTGACTGAAAATCCATATTGATTAAGCAAGCCTAAAGCTTACGTTAAATAGGTAGGCTTGACTATATGGTCCAAATAGGTATTAATATTGGATGGAATAGTGGGGTACCAGATCTCTGATAGCGTATTATATATTTTCTGAATCGCTATTTCTCGAAGAACCGGAGTGTTAAAAAGTGCACCTAAAATATTCAGTTGTGATTTCATTTGGATATCAAAAAAATTATTAATAGATTGGAAAGTATGGTTATAAATAATGTTATCCGCCGTATTTGACGGAAGGTTCAAACGTTGTTTGAATAGTCTTTTCAATGGTCCCATTAAAGACTGACATTGTTTCAAATTAAGGATCGTGTGTTGGAAAATATATTCCAATTTTGGTATAACTATTTTGTTAATAATATATTGTATGTGGTGATGTGTCAATTTTTTGTTTTTCATAATGTTGTAGTGAGCCATCACTATTTGTTTGCCTTTTCGTATCGTTTGCGTATGTTTATCTAGTGCATTAATATATAAACCTAGTATACGCTCGCCTTTGTTACGAGGTGTGACAGGCGTCTCGTATGGCCGATTGTTAATTGTAAGGGTGATATTCGGTTGTTTGATGGTACGGTCATTAGTTAGAATTTTGTATTTATCCATGTTAACTTTGATATTATTAAGGTCATAAAAGGAATTGGCAATTGATAGTTTTTCTTCGATTTGTAATTGTGAAGAGCCAAACCACGTAGTGTTATCAAGATAGCCCACTATGGAAATGTCAAAGGTATGAATAACATCATTCTCTATATGTTGACAATTTTTCTTCTGTGTCGCAAAGGTGGAGTAATGTAAATGTGTTAATTGGTTGATGCGATGAAACATCGGATCATAATATATATTCCAGAGAAGTGGTGAAACAACTTCGCCTTGGTCAATGCCTTGGAGAACTGCATAAGATGGCAGTAAACCATTCGTAGTTATGATTTCATTATGTCGTTCTGTAAATAAATTAAGAAAAAAAGTGATAATAATAGCAGGAATCTTTAAACGTTCTAGCGCCAGCTTCAATAATCGTAAGTCGATGTGATCGTATGCTTTTGATAAATCTTGTAATATGATCCAGATGGGTTTTTTCTTAATGCGCGCGTGTTCTATTAAATGTTGTGTAATCATAAGTGGTTCTAAGGTTGATTGGCCCAGGACGCCCGCTTTATTGTTGAATTGTAAAATCAGGTGTTTAGAGAGGGCTTGATTTAATCTAGTCGAAATAATATTGACTAGTAATTTCCTAGGAGTTTCCAGGAGAGTTATGGGCCTTGTATTGGTTAGTTTACTATTCCAATCGTGTGGTTTCGGTATCGGGAAAAGTAACGCGTGTTTCCATTTATCAGGAATCACTTTAAGTGTTATGCAGGCATTGAAGATTCTAACGAGGATCATTAAAACGTCCTCGTGTAAATGTGTGATATCTTCGTATGTGATTTTAGAAGGACCTGGCGCTTTGTTGTTATTCACTTTTTTGAAAATGGAGGAAAGGTCCAATAAAGTAATTGGCTCAATTAAATGATTCCACCATTCTTCATTGATATTTTGTAAAGTAGGATCATAATGATCTTTCCAGTCTTGTGGTATGGAGTCTAAATTCCAAATAGTCTTTTCATTTGGGGCCCCGCTTGATGTTGGAAATGTTTGATGGCTTCTTTTTCTATAATCTCTGGGTTGTTAGTAAATACATGTTCACCTTTGTTATCAATAAAAGAAAGTCTATCCAGCACTATTGCGATTTAAAATGGAATTGATCATTTTAGTTTGATCATGTTGTAGATTGTCATTGCGTTCTGTAACATAAGAACTAATTTTGTTGGAAAGGTATTTATCATACGCAGATTGATAAGCAATTTTCATCATATGAAATAATCGATAAATTTCGTCCTTTGTTGATATAAAATTATCAGGAGTGACCGTTAATGGTAAAATGATTGGTAATTTATTAAAGTCCAATAAAATCTTTAGGCGAGGGAGGTATTTCATCCATCCTTCATAATAGGTGACCCATATATGTTGTGGAATGTTGTGTACGGTTGATGGTGTGGGTGTGAAATTTAATTTGAAACGAATTTTAATATGTTTTAAATTTAAAAATTGTTTCACTTGGTATAAAAGAATCACGTGGTTATTCATCTGTCGTAATTCAAGAGGCAAATCTGGGTTTGATGATGTATTAAAGTTGATAGATTTTTGTGGTATAATATGTTCTTTGAGTTCAATTAAGGTTTTCTCAAAGAGATCCCATTGTCGGTTTAAAGTAGTTTTGTTATTAATTTGTTGAGGTTCTTTAGAAAATCTATTTTTGAAAGTTGAACGGCTACGATTCGTGTAAGAAGACCATAATTCAACAGTCATTTGATCGTATTTGAAGACTTTCTTAACTTCGTCATTCCGCTTATTAAAAGGAAGGACGTCCATGAACTTTTCAAATAAATGCTTATTTCTTGAATCGAAAAAAGTTTTTTCTAAAAGGGTTATAACAATATTATGATCAGTATTAAAAAAAGATTGTGGTATTGATTGTGTATATGAATGAATCGATTGTTCTAATAAATTCGGATTTCCATAATGGTAATCAATTCTATTTGTACTATGAGTGGAGTTATTATCTAAGGATACTTGATGATATTTAATTATATCTTTGTATCTGTTATTTTTGAGTAAACGGATGGAAGGATAATTCGGGTCTGATTTGTTCTTTGTAGTCATGTTAAAATCGCCAATAACAATGGCGTATGAATTTTTTGTCTTGTTGGATTTAATAATTAGTTTGTTCAATTTTTCGACACAAATAGCGCTGATTTTGGTTTTGGTGACGTCATTCTTAGGACTGGATGGTAAGTAGCAACAAGTTACGTTCAGTTGTTTTGATTTCTTAAAACCGAAGATAAGATTGATGATACGTCCTTCGAGAAATTCTGTATGATTAAGATGTTTTTCCATTTTGTCGGTAATCATGATGGCAACTCCAGTGCCTTTATTAGCGCCGGAGGTGTCGTGAACTATATATATAAAATTGTTAGGTAAGGTAGGATGCTTGTGTTTATTAATAATAATATTCGATTGATCTCCAAAGAGACTAGTTTCTGCTAAACCAAGGATATCAAAATTGTGTGTAACAAAATAATTAATAATATCATTAAGTTTGTTGTTAAAGGCTGTTTGAATATTAATACTGCCTATTTTAATGTAGTCAATAAAAAATTATTATCATTAATGTTTTCTTGATTGATTACTTGTAGGTTTGTAATATGTTCTTCATTAATCAAGTGATCGGGATTTTGTGACAAAGAGTGTGAAATATTAGGAAAGGGATCAGATATATTTAAGTTGGTGTGTGACATTATTTAAAATATTTTTGAAATTGGGATGTATGTAAACCAGAAATTGGGATAAAAACAATAAGGGGAATCAAAACGTTATGTCTAAATTCTTTATGATTATAAAGAATGAGTCACAGATTAAACCTGGGGTTTATTGCCCCAATTAAATGGGTTAAGAATGAAGCTCGATTGTCCTGAAGTATCTTGTTCAGCCGCTTCATATGTATTTTCAATGGTGCCTGTATCGGAGATATCTCCAGATTCAGTGTAATATTCGTCTGAAAGTGGGAGTGCATCACTGTCAGTCATAACCGATTCAGCAGATGGTTGGATGAATCGTTTTTTCACATCCTTCAGAGGAGTTTTTTCATATGGAGTACTAGTACGTTTGGCTTTCCTAGCTGGTTGTTGTCGGGTGGATGGGGTTTGTGATGCTTGTAAAGTGTTGATGAGCATTTGCATCTGGGTCATCAAGGTTTTATGTTGATTTTCAAGACTATCTTGTCTATGTGTAAGTAACGCTATATTAGTGTCAATTGTGGTTAGTTGTTGATGGTGCGAAGAGTATTGCTCCGTGAACGTTTGGTGGGAACCTTGTAATATGTTAACGTGGTTTGTTAAGGTAGTAATTTGTTGTTCCATAAGTGCAATTTTGTCTAAGATTTCTTGGGGAGTTGTTGTTGGGACCAGGATGAATTAGGCTTCTGATGCGTCCTATCCAGGTGATTCGTAGTGTTATTATAAGTTTGTTTTTGTTTGCCTCGTGTGTTCGGTTGAGGACGAGATTGTCCATTTGAGTTACCAGGATTGTCTTTGGAGAGTTTTATGACATGGTTGTAATTTTGTCTGGTTGTTTCATTGATGAGAATGCGATCTTTGTTACGTATGATGAAACGTTTTTTGAATATTTTACGTTCATTTTTGTCTAAGACGAAATCAGTACTAGTGCAATTTTTATATTCGTGTGTATGGTTACCACATACATTGCATGTTTTTTTGGTGTTGGTGTGTGGAAAAATAAAGATTGTGTGTTCACCAAATTTTGTACCCGTAATTGTGGTATAATCCTTTTTGATATCATTTGGGTGGACGTATATAAACGCGTTCTTGAAAAAAGATGAGCGTGAGGTTTGAGTAAAAGTACACGTACGTCCCTTCAAGTGTGTCACTAAAGGGCTTAAATCTCTTGCGTTCGTGTTTAAGGGTAAACCAGTGATTTTATAGAAAGAAGAGGTTCGTTGTGTGTATATTGGATGTTTTGGATTGCCTGGTAAGATTCTAGCTACTGAGTCCTCAATAGCTAAGCACCAGTCTTGTTCTAGTAGATAATCTGCTGCAGCTTTGTCCTCGAAGCTAATTATAAGTTGTTTATAAATTGGCTTGATGAAAATTGGTTTGTCATTTCTATTTCAGTTTTGGATTTTTTGAGGTGGTTTTTTAATTTCTTTGTAAGTTGTGATTCTTTTTCCCGTTGCGTCAGTTATTTGTTTTATCAGTAACGTGGCATCGTAATTGATAGGGATATCTAATATTTTGATGATGGTGTCATCTTGTAATTGGAGTTTGCGTTCAATTAGGGTATCTATATTTTGTTGTGTATATTCATAAATTTTAACATTAGGAAGGGTTGGAGGTGATGTTTTGATAAGGTGTGACAATTTCTCCTTAGTCGACACAGATATCATATAAAATTTGAACATCATTTTTTTCAAAGATCTGACTTTGATAAAGTCTTTGTCTCTGACAAAGATGGTGTTAAGTTTTTGTAGAATTTCTTTGTCTGTGAGTTTTGGTGGAAAACTATCTCGTGGGATAAACCCTTCAAAAGAAGTTTGTACTTGTGTGTTTGAGGCTGAAAATATGTTGTCGATCATGGGGATTTCCTCCATTGGTGATGGATTAGATCCTTCTGAAAGTTGTTGTGTGTCATTATTATTGGTAACTTCTATTTCCATTTCATCAATCGTTTCAACGATTGGTGCATTTGGTAAATAGGGAGTGGAGTCACGTGTTTTTGGAGAATTATTCCCAGGGACTTGCTCCACGGAGGAGGAAATTTGAGAAGGTGAAGTCAAAGCAGGCTCGGCTGTCTTTTGACTATTATTGTTGTTAGTTGTTGACATGTTCGACATTTTTCTATTTTTGTTATTTATAACGTTAGGAGCAAAAGTTCTATATATGTCTTCTTTATCGGTAGAAGAATGATATGTTTTTTCAATATTTTTTAGAATTTTTTGAGAAAACTTGGAACGAGTGTTTCTATTCATGTAAATAATGTAAACAAGAATGTAGAGTCCGAAAAATCACAAATTAGACCAGGTTTATATGTAGGAAAAATGGTTTCTATAGTATATTTCTTTAGCTAAAAAAATGGTCAGAGTGATCGTCCGGAAAAGAGTCTCTCTTTTCGGAAAAAATTAATCATACGGAATGTAAAACTTAATTTATTTAGTACAAAAATTCCGTATCATAACACGAGATCACGTGATTGTTTATTGTTTTGTTATGATACGTTTTTTGTTTTTATATAAACCCTTACTTTGATGAATTTGATCTTCCGATCTTCCTTTCAGTCTTTCCCTTCCTTCTCTTTTCTCTTGTCTTATTTTGTTATTTTTTCTAAATTTTTCTTCTTTTTTCGTCACCCCCCCTTTAAAAAAAAATTTTTTTTTTTCATCACTCTCCTTTAAAAAAAAATTTTTTTTTTGATTTTATTCTTTTATTCCCACTTTTCTTTTTTTAAAAAAAATTTTCTTCTTTCTATTTCTATTTCCTCTTTATAAAAAATTTTTTATTTTTCTAACTTTGACGTCCTCCCTTTAAAAAAAATATTTTTTTTGATTTATTCTTTATTCCCCTTTCTTTTTTATTTATATTTATCCCTTTTTTTATTTCATAGGCC